TTTACAGGGGAATAATTTTTTCTCTCCACCATATTTGCTTTTAAATTAAAATTTTTACTTTTTTTTTTAAATCCTTTCACTGAATTTATTTTATATCAGTATACTTCTTTTATCTACATAGTTATTTGTCTAAACATTTATGTTAACATGTGATGAATGAAAACTATTAAATGAATTAGTATTTTATTAAGATTCAGAGCAATAGGTTGAGACTATTAGTTTGGAAAATGAGGCATTTTGGATTTTTTGGTTAATTATATATTACAGGACCTCCCAGATAAAAACAAGTCATAACAGGATTAGAATATAGAATTTGGAAAAATGTGATTGTGGGTTTAAGTTATTTTAAACAAGAAAGTTTTATTTATGTAGTCTCAGTGCAGTTTATTTAAAGGAATGCTACATAGTTATTGGGCCATTGAGTTCCTTCTGATCAATCTGAGGGAGCTTTCTCAGGTGGGTGAGCCCTTAGCCTTTTGTGGAACAGAATGCTGTAGTGTGATCTCTGTGGAGACCCTGTCTCACTCAGGTGTTGGTTCTCACTGATGAAACAAGTTAGGGCATAAAATAGTGAGGAGGCTACTCATGCTTGGCAGTATAGAAGCAGAAAAGATAGACTGTGACTCATAAAACTCAAACCGAAGTTCATCTGGATTGTAGGAACTGTTAAATGAAAGGAGGTGTGTTTATGAACAGATGACTGTAACTTGAGGAAGAGAGGGAAGGAATAACGGAAGCATGGCTGTAGATGGATATATGATGATAGTGATAAGAAGACTAGAAACTATAGGATGTAGCAACAGATTAGATATATATAGAATGAGGGCACCAAAATGCCAGTGATCTCCATTGAAAATGTACTAAAAAGAAAAAAGCAGACATAGGAGAAGTATTAGGTAGGAAGGACAAAGTGCTGTTTCTGACATGTTATATTTAAAGGAGTGATGATGGCACAGTCAAGTGAAGATTTCCTTGAAATTGCTGGAAATGTGAATGCTTGGTTATAGGAGAGATTTCTGAGTGCTGTCAACATATAACTAGTGATTATTGGTGTCTGGTGAGCCCCTTTAGTAGGGTTACAATGAAATAGAAGGTAAGAGTTGAGTTCTCAGAGGATCAGTTTTTATTTTGAACCAGATCAGTTTTTTTT